CCCACCCCCCGCCCCAAGTAATGGATGTGATTCTTCTCTGTGTAGGTGAATTTTTAGAAAAGAAACCAATCGTATATTAAAGTACATTGGCTGAATGGTAAAGGTTCACTTGTGTGAAAGATGAGAATCTTGCTTTCTTAGCCAAATGATACTGTATTTGAAATAACAAATCAGTATTTTTCATGTGTGCCTACCTTTAAACTGCTTAACAACGGGGTTGTTGTTGTTTTCTCCTGGGTACACTGAGCTATCTCCAAAACCTGTACTATTGATATGGCCAGGAAAAGGAGTGGTGGAGATAAATTTGAAAACCTCCCCTGGCCTGTGGCGGGTGAGGTGTTTCTTTCTTTATAAACATCGTTGTTATCTGAAAGGAAAGCAACTTAATAATTGGCATCTGTGGGCAAAATTACTGGGAAAGCTATATGATCAAACAAAGCCCATTTCTAAAGTCAAAGTAATATTTCAATGCTGAGTACTGTACTCAGAGAAAGCAAAGTTCTGGGGGATTACTGTGGACTACAGTGCTGTAGCTAACTGGCTTCACACACACTGTGTTTTATCAATTAAAGCATAGATTGTGCTCCTAGCCTTAATTGGGTTCTGTAGTCTATTGCTTATTCATATCTTGCTAGTCATTAGAATTCTAATTTTTGGTTGTTTTTCTTATCCCAGATTATCACCATGAAGTATATACGATCTCAGAATTCAGCAACGATGTTAATGGGGAGGCCAAAGAGACACAACCCATTTTTTTAGGTAGGTTCTTATGTCAATTAATTTCTTAGCGAAACAGTGTGGCCATTTGCAATTAGGAAGAGAGAGAGAGGGAAAAAAAAGATTGTGCAAGAACGGGAAATGTCTTCCACTGCTTAATGTATGACATTCTTTTCAAGACCTTTTATTTTACAGATTGCCAATATATCCCTTATTAACATTGCTAAAAGTTGTAATTTCAGACATAAATGTTTATTAGTGTCTACACACAGTGCTAATTATCACTCACTCACAGAGCCAGATGCTGACTGTGCAGTTTTGTGGCTCTGAGCGCACCCATTTACATTGCATATCCACTGGCATGATTCACTGGCAATAGTTTGTGTAATTGGGGTATTACATCTTTGACATCTGGATAACAGAAATTCAATTTCCAGGAAGCTGCTATTTGTTTGGTTTTGCTTCTGCCTTGGGTGGGATAGAGGATTAATGTGCTGTCTTATTATAATGTCCCTTCACCTCTGTGGCCTGGTTGCTAATCCTGCCATGACAAAATTAAATTAAATCTACAGTCAAAAAGCGGAAAGAAAATAAAAGTGCGATTGTCTGTCTAACCACCTCTTGATAGTACTAGTTGTCACCAGGCAGCTCCTCATTGTCAGGGCTTTGTGCTTGCTCCGCACCAGCATTTTTGGTCCGAGAGACCTGCCCCAGCCACACTGTTCTTCATCATCTTCATACCAGACTGCCCCGCCCCCCCCCTCCAGGGACCAGCAGAGCAAAAGCAGCCTCTCTGAGTCCTTTAGACAAATGCTGCTGCAGGAGAGGTAGACGGGTAGCCAAGAAGGTTGCCTCCCTTTCTGTATGTAGTTTTTGATACAACATGCACTGTGCATGCAGAGCCTGGGAGGTGCCGTCTGTGATTTGCAAACCATGAGTCAAAACTTAACATGATTTAGGAATTTGTCCCTACAGCAACCCAAACCCAAACCCACTACCATCAGTTCTGACCCAGTTCTGAGACTGTCAGTCTTCATGGGAGCAGACAGCCTCGACTTTCTCCCCTGGAGCAGCTGGCAGGCTGGAACCACTGGTTTGGCACCGCCAGGAAGTAGAAGAGGCAAGAAAGTTGGGACTATGAAATGCCAGGACCAGACATGTCCGATCCCAGGGGAGAATGGTTAAGACTTTGGGAAGCAGAGTTGCCCAGTAACACAGGGCATTGTGCTTCAAATTAAGCAACAGGCAAGCCAGAGAGTGCAAGGTTCTGTCACCTGGCTCCCTCTATTCTGCTTTAAGGAAGAGAGAAAGGGTGCCAAGGAGTGAGAAGTCCGACTGAGACATAAGTCAAATAGGAGGCAGGCCGCAGTAGTGCTTACACACGTGATCATTGGGAGGTATGCATCTTTCCAGGGAGAGTGAAGTGAGCACCGCTCTCAGCACCTGTTTACTGTGGTTAAGATGACAGCAAGCCCAAAGGAGTTTTGTTTTTCAGTCCAAAGCTTAATAATCAAAATGTTGCGTCCCAGAAAGAATATTTTTGGATGATATTCTTTTCAGTTCCCCAAACTGGATCAGGTGGAATTCTGACCCTGCCATTTGAAATGAAGAATTTGCCTCAGAAAATTTACATTTCATCTTAAGAGCGGTACATCATGGCCTTGGCTAGTTCTTCTCCAAAGAAGCAGCCCCCTGCCCCCACCTCCCCACGACGCCCCGACTCTGTGTTTGGAAACTAGAGCAGTTGTTATGTAGTCACTTGATTTTGAGTATGAGAACGTGAGACTGGAGAAGGGGGGGATGCTGGTGCTCAGAATTCAGAAAAATGCATATTTTTCACTGCTTTCTTAGCTGTGTCCAGGAAGATGTGAGTAAATCAACGGGAGATCACACTTACCGACGCTAGTTATTATAAGCCAGAACATTGAGCAGCATAGATGTACGTGTAGTGGATTATTTCTCCATCTCTTACTTACTGTGGTGAACATGTCATAAGGCTCCCCAGACACTCCCCAAGAAACCCCCCAAAACCTCAAAACCTCACTGCTATCAGGTTGATTCAGACTCATTGCACCCAAAGAACAAGGTAGAACTGCCCCTGTGGGTTTCTGAGACTTAATGCTTTATAGGATTGGAAAGTCCCGTCTTTTTTCCTAAGGAGTGCCTGGTAGTTTCAAACTGTTGACCATCATATAGCCACTACACCACCAGACTCCTGAGGTTCCCAAAGAACTGTTTAATTTTGTGATCTCCCAATCAATTTTTTAAAACGTAGTAGAAGAATAAGACATCATTTTTAGACAAATAGCAATATTTTACTGGTGACATCTGAAAGGAAGAATTATGCAGTTGATAATGTTATAACACGACTCCTTTTAATTTATAGTTCAAACAAAAGAACCAAACCTATTGCCCTTCGAGTGAATCCCAACTCTTAGCGACCCCTTATGGAGTTTCTGAGACATTAAATCTTTATGGGAGCAGATAGCCTCATACTTCTTCCATGGAGAGGCTGATGGGTTTGAACCAATGACCTTGCAGTTAGCAGCCCAACGCCTAACCCACAGCGCTCTCAGAGTTCCTTAGTTTAGAATGACTCTTCTCCAAACACTGAAATTGTCTATCTTGTCGTTTGCTAGAGCCTTACTTATTGTGATGTAGAATTCTGTATGCGGTTTATGTCATCTAAGGGAATTTGCTACCCAAACCACTGGCTTACATGTGCTTTGATACCAAAGAAAGAAAGAAAAAAGTGCGGGGGAGGGAGGCATGGTGGTTAATTGCTCTGCTGCTAATCAAAAGGTCAGTGGTTTAAACTGATCAGTCACTCCGTGGGAGAAAGTTTTGACAGTTAGCGTCGGTAAAGAGTTGTATTCTGTCCTATGGGGCCTGTGAGTTAGAATGGACTCAGTGGGTTTAGTTTGCTTTGGTCAGTACTGAAACAGGGCCCTCTGGATACTATATGGCATTTTCTATGTTCAAGCATATGTGTTACCTTTGATATTATTTGCATCTGTAAGTTGAACGCTCACATTTTGGGCCTGGGGTTGGGGTGGAGTGTGGTGGCGTGGGTTGAGAAGTTTGAGTGTTTGCCTATTGTCGCACATTCAGCGTGGCGTGGTAGGGCAGATCAATAGGTATTTATAGTAGTTCCTAATTTGGGAGTTGCATTCACATTTTAAATTTGATAATTGAATCAGAAAAAGTTACTTTATCTTGTGGACATTGAGTTTCTCAAGCTGGCTGTGATGGGAATGTGATTTAAGATTTGAGTACTGTTTGGAGGGAGACAACTTAATCCTTTTACATCCATTCAGCCATGCTTTAAATAAAATAGTATGAATTTATCACTTTTCCGGAGTGTGTTTGTGGATAGCTGAAGAAATGGATAGGATATTGACCCTGCTCTCAGGAGTTAATAATAATCCGTTGGGGAGATAGGACAAATTCTGGGAACAGCTCAGGAGCAATGTTTAGTAATAATAACTGCTGCAGTTGTGTGAGCACTTACTTTGTGTAAGATATTTAGCAGAGTGCTTCACATGAAGCAGCTCAGCAAGTCTGTGAGTCATCATTCTGGAAATCTATAGATAAGGCTTAGGTAACCTGCCAGAGATCTCATAGCTAGGAAGGGACAGAGCAGGGATTCCAGTTTACGCCAGTCAGAGCTTGAAACAACTGTAGGGTATTGGAGAAGGTTCCAGAGGGCAAACCAAGGTAGATCCTTAAGTAACATCATTTCACGTTGAGTGTTGCATTTGATCAGTTAGAGTGTTTTCACATCTGCAAGGAGCCCTAGTGGCAAAGTAGTTACATGTTGGGCTGCTAACCACGAGGTCAGGCGTTCGAAAGCCCCAGCCTCTCCAAAGGAGAAAGATGAGACTTTTCTACACCCACCATGAGGTACAGTCTCAGAAACCCAGAGGTGCAGTTCTCTCCTGTGCTGTAGTCACTCTGAGTGGGTATTAACTGTTCAACATTGAAATTGGTTTTGTTTTCTCAACTTGATTCTTGCAATGTACCTATGAGAGAGTTACGGTGGTTGCTGTTAGTCCCATTATGTGACTGAAGAAACAGAAGCTTAGAGTAAGTGACTTGCTCAAAAATAGCAGAACCTGGAGTGAACTTAGGTCTCTTATCCAAAGCTCTTTCCCTTCTGTCATGTGGACCACTAGGAGACCTTAGCTGGTAGCAGGCTGCTTTTAGAAAACTGAATATAATAACAAAATGCTTAGTATATTGTTTATAACTAATACAAACTTCAAATAAAATTTCATTTTAAACATTGGATTGTGATCTTAGTAGAACTGTGCTGCACTGGGTTTTCAATTGCTGGGGTTTTTGGACGTGGTAGACCTTTCTTCTGCACTACATCTGGGTGGACTTACACCACAAACCTTTGTTACCAGCCAAGTGACCTCCAGATTTACTGAGAGAGTATGTGAATTTGAAACCTGTTTGTTCAGTAGCCTGTCATTTGTTTATTCAGTGCATATTTAAGGCGCTCCAATTATGTACCAGACCCTCTTATCAGTTGTTGTTTTTTTTAATGTTCAGTTCAGCTATACAACTTTCAGTGCCAGAAGCACATGGTATAGTAACCATGCCAACTGAGCAGAATTGAGATCTCTCTGTCCCTCCACCTGCTTGGCAGTGGTTTTCTTGATGAGTTGTCCCCGCTAAAGTCCAAAGAATCTCCCCAGAGAGGGCACACTGTGGAACTCCTACCCACAGTTACCAGTTAGGAGTTTCGCCTACAACCACAATGTGTTTCCTTTTCTGGAGAATTGGGCCGGTCCACCTGTAACACAGAAAAGCTCTTCCCCTAGAATTGTGTGCCTGCTCTCTGTCCCTGTCCCCTGGTCTCCCACGGGTTCTTGTTTGGTTTTTAAAGACCTAGGGAGTGAAATACCTCCTTCCACAGAAGGAGGCCCTGGTGTTTCACAGGTGTCTGAAGCTCCCACCAAAAACCAACCTCACTGTGGATGCCGACTCAGAGTGACCCCATATAGGACAGGGTAGAAGTGGCCCTGTAGGTTTCC